TTCCGAAAAAAACGACGAGGGATTCCGATTCTTGTACGAGACGTCAATGAGCTTACTTTGGCGCAGAATGCGATCCGTATATTGTTGAAATTGAATGACAACAATGAAAGAATTAGAAGTTAAACGCAAAAATTTCCAGCATTCCCAACCGCTCTTTGTTTAAATTGATTTGACGCCAACGGAATTTAATACCATTCCAAAGCTTTAGTAATTCTGAAATAGGACGGCCGATCGGTTTTATGGAGACGTATTTCGATTTTATATCGTACCGAGACGAAAAAAAATCTGCGTTTACACATAATCTTCCCCTTTCAGCGGAAATATATTAAATAAACTAAATTCCACTTACTTTTGCGCGTTTTTTGTCTTAGTAGCTTTCTTAGGTTCCAGAACATCCATCCATGAGATATTTATGGTCCTGAAACAATTTCACAAATTACCAAAAAATATATAGGGCCGGATTAGGTATAAAATCTCGTTGCATTATTTAACGTTCCGTAGGTGGTCCGTGAAAATGGCTTTATCGATTTCACCATACCACTCGGCAATTAAATCTACAACGACAAGCAGTAAAACATTTCATTATTTTAGGTACGTCAACGAAATTATAAATTTATGGCAAATGGCGATTGTCAACAGCGATTTTCACTCAATACATTAAAGAAACATGCCGAAAAAAGAGTGCTGAATAAATTATGGTCGCACAAAAATATGCGATCATTAATAACCTGACATTTTGTCCGTGGATGACTTAATAATGGCATTTTTTCGCCTCTCATACCTTTGATTTTTTCAACGAAACTTGACCTCGGCGTTTTAAAGAACATTGATTATTCATTTTGGGATAGTACCCGCTGTCAATTCAATTATACAGAGGACGGGAGGATGGAAATAAATAATTGATACATTTTTCTGTTGGCAGAGATTGTCAAACACATTCACACTATTTCAAAATTATGTAGATTCAATGCGGTATGTAGTCCTACTATTACTGAAGGGTTCAGCACTCCCAAGAAAACAAATGGCACTAAAGATTATTTTGGCGAGTACGAGTTGATAATTAATTGACTCGGTTTGGGATCGTAATGTCAAAGTACACTGCCCACATATTAAGTAAATATTTATTTATTGTCCCTCTTGTTCTGGGTCCTCAACAGGTGTTCGCAGTTCGCCCAATTACAGAGTGAGGAAATTCCCATCTCTGCCACAGATAAAAAATTCTTGCCTCGGCCCAGTTTCGAACACCCGACCTCCGACAATGTAGCCCAACGCTCTACCACTGAGCTACACAATTTTGAATCATTCCCAACAAACAAGAATCTCAAGGCGTAGGCTTTAAAAAAATGTTGCTATTTACGACATTCAACAAAGTAGTCACGCTATACACATTTTTTCATTTTGGGGACATCTGGTCCGTGTGATGAGCGCATGTTTACTTACGTATATAGTGGACATAAAACCCAAGAAATTTAATTCTGTTGTTGATTTTTATGAATAGTTTATTTATAACCTTTTCTGTGGTTCTCAGCGCCACAATTTTCATTTTGTTGGGTGCAGCTAATTATTTCACAAATTAAATGTTGGAAACGGCAAACTCAGTTAATTGAACATTGTCTTGTGGATGGTAAAAAAAACAATTTACTTGTAACTCATATTTTAGGCACATAGACTCATTTATCTCCGAAATATTCCAGTATAAATTGGTTTTTACCATAAGACGATCTTAAACGTTAATTTTTCAGTTTGTCGTTTTCTATCGACCACAAGATCGACAAACAACTCCATTCCATTCCAATATTACCGACATTTTTTAGAATTCCTATGTAGGCGAGTGGTTCCTGAATACGGTTCTGACTGGCAGCGCCGAGAGGTTATGGGTCACCACTGGGGAGCCGAGATTAACTGGAATTACGCGACAATTTTGCAGGGGCACATCCGCCGTTATTAAGCTTAATGTGTAGCGTGATTTTATTGACCTTGTAGGAATTTGTCAAGGTGAAGAAACATCATTGACTAGAAAAAAACGAGTTTTATTGTTGGGGAAGGTTGTACGTCCCAAAATTGGTGTGAATAAAAAACTAAAGTAGTGGAAATATGGTCGTTCACCGCGGGGGCGATTCGCGTCAAACCGTAAGGGACAATTAACGCAAAGCGATGTTAAATCGGTCACCGTGGGGTGTTGTTTTTTTTTTAATTTTGTGTTGGAAAAACTCCTGTGGAACCTACATAAGTCTGACTGAATGCGCTCTTAGTGTGTTGGGAGTAGTTGGTACCATTGGCATTGACATGACTTTCACTTTTACTTTTGTCGTGAGAATGTCAGGTCTATCTTTGCGAAGAATGTCGGTTTGAATTGGAAAATTCGAAAGTCATCACGCTAAAATTGTTTAAACTAATTATCTAAGCGTCTTCACGCAAATGGGATAGTGCTGTAATCCTCTCTAGGTAATGTTATTTTCATAGAATGTTTATGTTATGCCATGTGTGTTAATTTAATTACGTATCTTTGTTTTATCTATCTCGTAATTCCATTTATTAATGGGGTACGTAAGTTCGAATTAATTGGAATTAGGTCTGATTTTTAGCATTGTAGTTTTTGGATATACTCGTATTTTTCTTTGTACCTTACTATGATTGGGGTAAAGAAGTACCGTGTTGTGGATGCAATGTAAATACCTACTCGCTTTCGAATTGAAGGACGCTAACTGCCGATTAGCTGGAACCGATCTATTACATTGTATCTAAGATGGAAGAATCGCTACGCAAATGTTTATCGCAAATACCGGAAATTGCAAAGTTGCAGGTAACTTGTTGATCATTGCCTTTGTCATTAGTTTATCTTGCGTTGGTCGTGACGAATTGCTCTGCACTTGATTACATGAAATATCCAATCAACTGTAAATTGCAGTTTAATTTATCTTTTGCCTTTGTCGTTCGTGTTAACGTAATTGGTTAATGTATTTATCTATCTGTCTCTGAATGAGATTAGATTAAGTTACATATAGCTTCTAAGTACTCAGCTGAGTTGGAAATCGGCAGCTTATTTATTTCATTCTTTATCGTATGGGTAGGATTCCCGGGTAGACGATTTCAGATCGCATCTACAGGCGTCTGTAAGACTTAAAGACAGCGGTGGTATGACTGGCGGGACCGCCAAATTTACATGCCCTCCGGAGTATGTAGTCAGGAGATACTGTACTACTAAAAACTGGCAAGTTATCGAATTCGAACTTACTACCTGTGAGGTTTGAGTCCCAGTTATAACGATCAGACAACCGACGATTACGACAGCTAGCATCTTAATAAATATGGATATTGTATATATCTTTACCGTGGAGGAATTCTGAAACTCTGGAAATTTGTAGGTGCGAATCTACCTAATCTGGGCCGGACTGACTATCAAAAAACATAGTTAGGCCAGGAGCATTATAATACAAAGGTCTGTTTAGTTGTGCGAGTGATCACTTATTTCCCTTTTTTGCACAATAGAATCCATACAATTTGGACTAATTTCTATTTTAATTAATATTGCTATGTACACGTTTTTATTAACGAGCTTCTAGCGAGTTTTTAATTTTGCGGTGTCTGTCCGTCTGTCCGTCCGTCCGTTAACACGATATCTCAAAAAACGAGCCGACCGTGGAAGTCGCTAAACGAGTTTTTTTTATGAACGGCAGTCAGTCTTGGTGGTTGCAAAATTCTTGTAGAGAAGTTAAGATGGTGTTCTAAGAGATTTTAATTAGTCGTTATAATATTATAATACCGCGTTAGGGTCAAGCGTCGAGTCACGTATACGAACAGTTAGTTTGAGAGTTGTGTCGATCAAATCAAGCAGTAATCGCATAAGGGCAGGCATAAGGGTGGCCCTTCTTTAAGGTTTTTTCAACTACCCGATAAAAGGCCAAGGAATTTAGAAAGATTTTGCTCGAAAATTCTAAATGTTTGCAAACAGTTCGTATCGAAGTGCGATTTTGTTGTAATACGAAGCGGAAGCAGTAGTGGAAGTGTAAATATTATTTAAATTTAGATTGATATTTTAACAGGTTTGAATGTGTGTCTCTTTAACAGTAAGGGTAGATAAACTAAAACAAACCACTATGCATTTCACTGACATCCAATGACATAAAAATAGGACGTAGAGCATGAAATAAAGTGAAGTTCAGAACATAATTATTTATTTATTCATTAATTATCACTCTCTTGTTCTGGGTGAACCTAAGCTTGCACTTTTTAACGTTTAAATTAAATTCGTACAGAATTTTCCAAAGTTTTATAATGATTTATTTTGACCTATTGTAATACGACTATCTTGTGGCACAAGTGGCGACGCGGTCCTTTGCACCGATGGCAATTGTGTAAACAACACAACTTATTTGAGCTTCCTTGCATATTTCGGTCTCCTATAACTATTTCTAAACATTAATTACAATGCGTCCAGGTACAATAACAGCCACTTGCGGTACCAAATTTTACATCCGCTTCTAAAGCATATCTTTATTTATGTCCAAAAAAAACAAAAGAGAAATGAGCTTGGACAGAGGTGTACGTCGCCGGGATTCACATCGTTGGGATGGGATGCATCGAAGGAAATACTACATTGGTCACCAAGATCTTACGGTATTTGCTGCAGGTTTATCTTTCACCCTGTGACAAATGGATTTGGATCAGATTAGAATCATACGTATTCATGAACCACTTTCTGTAAGTTTAATTTGTAAAACATTGGTAATTACCTACATAATGTATTTCAATACGTTTACAATTTAAATACTAAAAAGATTTTGAAGTGTGAGACTCCTATGTCAAAATAGTGCCCTTAAAGTAGATTAGTGTAAATTGTTTAAAAACGGTCAACAAACTGACCCAGAACCAGATATTGTCGTATCGCCTTTCGATTATTAATAAAATTAATGAGGTCACCTTTAAGAAGTACCTAGGCGATAACTTTTAAGAATAAATGTTGGGTTTTTTTTATCGGTCGGCCCAGAAATTGAAGTCCTGCGGCTGTGTGCGTTTGTGGGATTTCCGACGACCGTCAATGGTCGTACATATTATGCGTGTGCATCCGCTGCAAGCTTAGTTTCGTATCTTCAACCGACGACAAAACAATATGTCCCCTAAGTTATACGTTATCGACCTCAGCCCGCCAGTAAGGTCAGTTTATCTGACAGCTGCAGCTTTGGGAATCACTCTAGAACACGTTGAGTTGGATTACTTTGCCGGGGATCACTTGAAACCAGAATTTATAAAGGTAAGATCTGCAGATGTACAGGCGGAGTTTATCGTCTTCCTTACAGATTAACCCTCAGCACACACTGCCTACATTGGTTGATGATGATGGTACGATCGTATGGGATAGTCACGCTATTAACGCATATTTGGTATCGAAGTACGGAAAAGACGATTCGCTTTATCCAAAAGATTTCGCCAAACGTGCTTTAGTGGACCAAAGGCTACATTTCGATTCCGGTTGGGCTTTCCTTGGAATGAGAAACATTGTTGTGAGTGCTTTCAATGTATAGCTCTAAACTACTTTGTGTCCTATAACAGGAGCCCATCTACTTTCGAGGAAGTAAAACGATCCCAGAATATCTTAAGGAAAACGCCAATAAAATTTACAACTTTTTGGAGACATTCTTGGAAGGGAAGATGTGGGTGGCAGGTGACAATATCACCATAGCTGACTTCTCCTTAATCTCAAGCATAACCTCCTTGAACGTTTTGGTTCCAATTGATTCAGGCAAATTTCCGAAGGTAGCGGCATGGATTCAACGTTCAGAACAACTTCCATACTATGCAGTTAATAAAAAAGGTTTGGAGGATTTTAAAACGAATATTGATAATATGTTACGGGCATAGCATACGTAATCCATCTGCACTTCAACGGATTGTCACTCACTTGTCGAAAATCCATAATAAAGCATTGATTTGACTTTTTGTTCTTAGACGACCATAAATTGGATTTGAAAACGATTCGCAAACCTTAATGCTTACCACCCCTTATTTATTAACTCAAAAAATTCTTGCTATCACACTCCTCCAGTGAACTGTTCAGCAGTCCTGTAGCTCCCGTTTTCGTTCGAAAAGCTTATCCGATATCGAGAAAATCATCAAATTGTCTGTACCGGGTGACCCAATAAGACTGTTCCTCGGCCATATCTCGGTAACCGTTCGTCGTATGACTTAGGGGCAAAAAATTATTGGGTAAATCGGTTATGAAGAATCGCTGGAAAATATTTTCAAGTTCTAAAAATGACCACCAGAGGGCGTAACTGCCATCTTAAATTTTAAAATTGCATTTTCTTTCAATTTCGCATAATAAATTCATTTTTCACATTTTTAAAGAGAACCAGTTTATCTATAATTTTCGTAAAAACAAAAACTCAGTTATTTCAAAAACAAGGGGCGTTCAATTGTTTTTGTAATAACCTGCTTTAACTTCTTAACCGTTTGACCGATTGTAACAAATTTGGTATTATTGAAAAGAGCATTCCTTGGGCAACAAGAATATATCGCCAGCATATTAAATGCTTTTTGGTTAGTAATCGGCATTTTAGAAAAGATTACAAATTAAAAAAACTGCACTTTCTGAATGTAAACGCAGCAGAGTAATTTAAAAATTACGGCTGTTATTATTTTATAATGCATCGTGTTTCATTTGTTTAAATTTCCAAGGCCTACCTAAAAGTATAGGGTCCTTTTCCAAACAATCTTTCGTGCCATCGACGAATACCGGAAATACATAAAAAGTAAATTTAAGATACAAGTTAAGCATTTTTATTAATTAATTAATTAATATCATTTTCCCAATATTTGAGGGTAGAAACGAGATTTTTAAAAACGGTTTTCACTGGCCTCTTTGGATGTTATTTGGCTACTTAGTCATATCATTTAATTTAATTTTTTTAGGATTTTGGATCTGTGTCAAAACTAGTCCCCTGGCGGAGAAGGATTCAACTAAATTAACTACATTGTTGTTGATTCTTGTTGCCCAAGGAATGCTCTTTTCAACGATACCAAATTTGTTACAATCGGTCAAACGGTTAAGAAGTTAAAGCAGGTTATTGCAAAAACAATTGAACGCCCCACACCATCTTTGTTTTTGAAATTACTGAGTTTTTGTTTTTACGAAAATGATAGATAAACTGGTTCCCTTTAAAAATGTGAAAAAAATTTTTTTAGTTTATTACGCGAAATTGAAAGAGAATGCAATTTTAAAATTTAAAATTGCAGTTACGCCCTCTGTTGGTTATTTTTAGAACTTGAAAATATTTTCCAGCGATTCTTCATGACCGATTTACCCAATAATTTTTTTCACCCCTAAGTCATATGACGAACGGTTCTCGAGATATGGCCGAGGAACGGTCTTACTGGATCACCCGGTACATGTAGCATTTATTTTAACAACTATGTTGTGTCACAAAACGAAATTTTTAAGCATGGTGTATTTTGACTTTTCCCAGGGTAGGTTCTGTAGAATGTCACAATTGACTAAGCTTGCCTATATTTTGGGTTTCACAAGTAAAGAGGCTAGTAGAAGAGAAAAACTGCAAAACTTCACTTATTTTAGGCCTAGTCTTTCCCCCTCTCAATGAGTCTATTTGCCGAATAAGTTCCATGGATCCAATCGTTGTCGAAGTACTTATTTGCCAAATAAATTGATCAAGAAACAGAAAGATTGGCCCTCAAAGTAATAACTGAGAACACCATGTAACCACGGATTGAAGGCGTATCTAGAAGTACTGCAGACGAAATATGTGTGTAAACCTCCTCCATTTTTTGAAGAAAACCTCAGATCATTTAAAAAAACAAAAGAGAGATAACCGAAAAAAGATCACAGTACACGAGAAACGTTTGACAAAATAAAAAGGGCATGTAAACGGCCACACATCATAACAGAGTAACTTATATTACCAATTTTCAAGAGCGCTGTAGAAACTGTAACAGAAACCCGTGAGGGTATTTCTTAATTTGGAATTTTTTTCCTCGCACATTATTATTATTATTAAATATTACTAAAAAAAATATTAATATTGTTAAAATCTACTGGGTTTTTTACGAATATACACAGAATTGGTTTGTAACAAGTTCATTTCTTCTTTGCATCATTCCGTATTTTACATTCGGTACGCCCTGTATATAAATTTCTACTTCTATGCGTTGGATTAGTTCCGCCAGGTGGCAGGACCTTACAGCGCGATCCAAAATTGTACATGCTTTTTCTTTCCGATTCCGACTCTGATCGAACGAACAACTAAGCCGTTCTGCGTGAGAAAAGAAAAACACGTGGGTAATCTTTGCCACCACTGTTAGTTAAAAACTTTGGCAATTCTACCCGTATTAATTGCGAGACAAGTAGTCTGCAGCATTTTACCGTTCATCGGGCTTTAACGTGAAACTTTTTTTCTTCGAGTAAGTACGCTTATCTAAATAATTTCTTTTCTTATGGCGGCCATTGTAGATTACGGATATACTGGAAGATGTGTAATTGAGGAACGCTTGGTATTTAATTCCTCTTAAATTTACTTAGAGGTAACGAATTTTACATGTGTGTGTGTAGGAAGTTTTAGCTTAAACTATTTTAGGGTCCTTGTTCGATACCGAAATTCCTTGTTCGGGGGAAATATCTTGTTCGAGATCACCTGTTGATTGGGGGAAAGTTTTGGAGATTCATTATCCACCATAGACACCTAGGAGGTCGTGACCAACAACCTTATCTGAGAGAGATAAGAGCGGCCATTTTATGAAGACGAGGGAGAAACTCATTTAACTACATACTGTTTCGACATGATCGAGAATGCCTTTTTTTTGCTTGATCGGATATATTAATTTTTGTGTGGCTGCGACACTCCATCAGAGACACAGACATTTTTAGAGGGGTATCGAGATTTGAGCTTACCGCAAGCTTCGTAGGTCCTTCAGACATTTATTCATAATATATTCCGAACCCTGTGGTTTGGGCCCTTTTTGTTCTCTTTTGATTGCAGAGATGAATGGTGCAAACAGAGCTCTCTTTGCTGCCTCACATCTGGAATATTACATAAGGTAAGCGTTATATTCTATTTGCCTTGTTGTTACCGAACTTGCGTTGGGATATTTTCGTTACTAGTTGTGACCGGTAGTAACGTAACCATTTTGTAATTCATATGTGTGATTCATTTATTAATCTTAACGATCATTAAGGAACAGTAATTGGGGGCAATCATTTTTGAACTGGAGTATAATTGTTGGGAATTAATTGGGGTTTTTTTTTTATGATTTGTGCAGTGTGTAATTTCACATATATATCTATATTATTTTGCAATTTATTTGAAAGCAACCAGCAATATAGAGCCGTTTGATTTGCATTTATGGTTATTGTGCATCCTGTATCTTCCCAATTTTATGCAGGGTGAGTTGATAGTGTACATTAGAAATTGGGTGGCGCTCAACCATATCGCACGGAGATTGTCTTGCCCAGAACGAACTTTACTGCTTTGAACATTCTCTTGCTTCCATATTCAAAAACACTGAGCTTAGCTGGCCGTTTATGCGGCGGGTTTTGTTAAAAGCAGCGCCAAGCCAGACCCACTGTTATAGGTTTCTTGAATTTGTATTTACGTATTTGTTATTTCTTTTAGAAACTTTTGTAAATTATTCAATTTAGATCAGGCACTAGAGGTAGACACATCTGGTTGCATTTGCGTTATTAAAATAATAAGGTTTCATCTGGTCGTTGCGACACGAAGTTTTAATGTCAGGCGAAAATTAATGAACGTACGTGTTTTATTGCTGATAAGAGCAGATGCGGTTGTTTTGCGAAGAGTTGCGCGTCTTTTATTTATAAGTGGAGTCGTTTTTAACGCGTTCGCGTCTGAAAAATCCATAAAAACTCATTCAACAAACCAGTTCGAGTCAGAGAGTTCGGTTTAATAGAAAAGAACCGCACTTTCCTTATCCTGATCCTTTAACGACCAGATTATTTGGATTATTAAAATGCAATCGTGACCATTGAATTGCGTGGGAAAGTATATGGTGTCCGTCTGGCGTGCGATAACGAGAAATTAATAGCTATACGTGACGAAACGGCTGATTCAGGTTTTGCTTATAATCAGATCGTGAGAACCCTAGTGATTGCTTGTAAAAGTTTGAGATTTGTCACAGGAGACAAGGTTTATTGGATGAACGATTAAAGATGACCGCTACACCGATTGGATTAACAATTGTATCCATGGAATTTTTGGGAGAAACAAGTTATTAGGAAGGCCTTAATAAAATAGAAGGTGACCACTGATAATATCTTAGCATAATTTTGGGTACTGGATATTCAATGATATTCGTGGAGGGCGGAAATTGATTGGATTTAAAATTTCAAGATTGTTGTACACATTACGCTTCGGCACCTGCAATGATGGATCACCCTGTATGTTGAAATTTCATTTACTTAGAGAGTAAATTTGATCATTAATTTTTAAATTAAGGGTAAACTCGATCATATTAGTTGAACTAGCAATAAATTTTATTTTGTATTGTAATTTATTCATTTGATGTTTTGATGTTGTTTTAATAATTGTTTTGTTCATTTTGTTTTGGTGTAATTATAATTTTAAATTACGTGTACTAGATGTACCTTATTTATTCAATTAGGAATTATTTTCGTAATCTTTTAAAAGTTTATGTCATGTTTTTCTCCGATCATTGCGATAAAAGCGTTATCGCTGCGAAAGCTAATTAGTTTCAAGATAAGGACGTATTATCTCTGAAGTTTAACACACGGGCAGATTATTCTAAGAGGACGCATTATTTTGTAAAAGAAGAAGGAAGGAAATAAATGGAAAAGGAAGGAAGGATTTAAATAAGCGAACCGGATATTAACCGAGTTTTTTCGGTCAAGCTTCTTTGGCGGTTGACGTTTGAAACGTAGTCATTTGTTTTGATGTTTGTATTTATAAAGACAATATGCCTT